TGCCTCAATCTGTACAGTGAGTATTCATTGTGTAGCCATTAGCACAGCAATTTCTAAAAACTAAAAATAGAACTACCATATGACCCAGCTGTACCACTCCTGGGCACATACGCTAAGTCCTATCATGTGACACCATCACATCCTTGTTTATCACTGCACTAATTAATCACCATAACTGGTAATAGAAGCAGCCTAACATCCCATCAACCGAAGAATAAAGAAAATGTGGTGTGTATATGCAATGGAATTTTAATCTGCCATAAATTCACTTGAATGACTGATTTCATGGGTAGCGCACATGCATACATGCAGACCCATACAAACAAAATAATAATAAGTAAATCTTTAATGAATAAAATCAAGAGCTGATAAATGGGACATCTACGTCACAGACTCGGGGGCCACAGAGGAAGTGGAAGGGGGATTTAAGAGCCAGAGATTGGGGAGGATTGAAGCAAAACAGTGTCTTCTGGACATGCCAAGACAGCTTCACTCCTGAACTCCCAGCAGCTGTGGTTTCCTGCACACGGCTGGCACAAGATCAAGCCAGTAAACATTCCAGCCTAGAGTGGGGAGGGACCCGTGAGCCCCACCCCTGGCTGAGGAGCTCTTGACAGTGGATGCTCTTAGGGGAGGGAGAATGAGTTTTCTTTAAGGCTGTGGTCCCTGGTAGGTAGACAGAACGCCAGTAGATGACCCCACACCCAGGAATATATGGGCGGCAAAAATTGGATGGGTTATTGGAAAAAAAAAAAAGACGTATATAAAGTTGGGAAGGAGTGGAGACAAGGGGGTGGGTCCTAAGATGTGGCCTATACTTACAGAAAAGTCTGTAGAACCAAGCTGATCATGGTAGTACACATGTGTAATCCCAGCACTTGAGAAGTGGAGGCAGGAGGATCAGGAGTTCAAGACTCCCTCTGGCTACTACACAGCAAGTTCAAGGCCTGCCTGGCTACACAAGACCCTATGTAAAAGAAGAGATTTTTAAAAAGCAGTGTCTGGGTGGAGAGTATAGCTCAGTGCGTAGAGAGCTCAAATAGGTTCATGCAGCCCTGAGTTTATCCCAGCGCCATAGAAACAGAGCCTGGGATGCAAGCCAGTGCTCCCAGCATTTGGGGGTAGAAGCAGGAAGACCAGAAGGTCAGAGTCATCCTTAGCTACAGAGTGAACGTGAGGTCTGTCCTGGCAACACGAGAGGCCGTCTCAAAACCCAGACCAAACTGGAGTGTGGAAAAGCTGCTAGGGGAGGAGTGACCGGCTTTCACTGAAATGGCTTTGTGGCGCTGGATCTTAAGGGATTATCGGGGTTCTGTCAAGGAAAACCAAACACTCGTGGGGTTGAGAGGAGATCTTACATGAAGATTCGGCATCAGAAAGAGCTGCCAGGAAGGCGAAGGTCGCTGGCCATGGGGAAAGCGCCGGGACTCTAATCCTAGCTCAGAGAGGGGCAGCTGTGAGGCTGGGGATGCCGGCAGGTGGGATTGTTGGAAGACGTCCTTTTAAGAGACATTTGGTCTTGAGCAGACATAAAGGGCTGACGTTGCGGCTCAGTGGTAGAGCCCTTGTCAGGCAGGCACAAGTTTGCCCCTCCCCCCATTACAACTCTTCAGAATAGCTTGCCTGGTTTAAACAGACATAAACGCCAAACCCCTTCAGCCTGGACCTGCTTCATTCATCACTTCTTGAGAACGAGTCATTTTAATCCCAGTCTCTCTTCCCTGGGGAGGTGAAAGGCTAAGTGTTCTTGAGTTAGTAGAGACTCAGATGTAAATGTGTCTGTGGAGGGACCCTCTGTTGTCAAACGGGTCTAAGGCAGGGGCTCTGGTTACCAATGTCCAAAGACACTGGCTGGTGGAGCCCAGGCCCCCCTGGCTAGGTGCCTGTGAGCTTTTCAGCTCTGACCACTAGGAAGTTGCTTCAGCTCACTGGGGTTCACAGAGGTGCCACGCAATAAGCCCCTGGATCCATCTTCCACCGTTTATATGCCGCCTCTGAGCAAGGGTTGCAAACCACGGCTAATAAAACAGACATGGATAATAACCATGGCATCTGTGCCCGAGGAGCTGCATGCTATTTCCCCCAGAATGGCTGGCACTGGGCCTGAGGCCTTGCTGATTCAGCCCGGTGCTGTCTGGAACACACTTCGCTGCCTAGACCTCATCCAAGGTCACAGGTGTCCCCTGCAAGATGCTGACTTTGATGTCTCTACTGGACACTCCCTTCCATGGCCAGGAATGGCGATGCAGCTCCAGGAAAGCAGACATGAGCCCTGGCTCTGTGGGAGAGACGGACCCTGAACAGACTACCAAGTGTTTGGATGAGGATGAGGAGCAAAAATGCAGGGAGCTGGGACAGTGAGGGACAGGGAGAAGAGCCTGATCTCAGGGCTGGTGGGCACAATGACGTGGGCAGGCAGGCCTCAGCTAAGAAGGAAGAGTCCTCTGATTCCCAACAAGGATTGGGAGTGGGGGAAAGGGACGGAGTGGCTGGGGAGACCTCCTTCACAGGGTCACCTGTACCTGAACCTGGAGCCCCTCAGGCCAGGCCACATACTCTTTGAACCCCTCTTCTTTAAAAAAAAAAACCCACGTATGTTTATTTATTTAATGTGGGGATGGCTGGGCACGTGGGTGTCATGGCACACGTGTAGGAGTCAGAGGACAAGTAGAGTCCATTTCTTTCCATCACTTGGGCCCCTGGGATCAAACTCAGGTCATCAGGCTTGGAGTCACCTCATCTGCCCTGCATTGTTGTGTGTCTTGCTATGTAGCTCTGGCTGGCTTGATACACACTCTGTAAACCAGGCTGACCTCCAGCTTTCAGTAATCTTTCTGCCTCTGCGTCCTACATGCTAGAAGTGCAATCATTCCCTTCCATGCCTGGCATCACCTCCATGCCCGGCATCACCTCCACGCCCAGTATCACCTCCATGCCTGGCATCACCTCCATGCCCGGCATCACCTCTATACCCGGCATCACCACCGTGCTCGGCATCACTTTCATACCCAGCATCACCACCATGTCGGGCATCACTTCCACACCCGGCATCACCTCCACACCCGGCATCACCACCATGTCCGACACTGCCTTCTCCTTCTTAATTTCTCTCCTACCACCATCCTTACTCTTCCTCTCCCTTTCAACCTACTTCTGTGCCTTTTTCTTGCTTCTCTGGCTTCCCATTCCTCTCATCTCAACCAACAGTGGTGATAGGACATGAGGCTTGGAAGAGGCCAGTCTGTCTGGGTCCACCCTGGCTTTACCCCTTCCTAAAGGATTATGAGACTCTGGGCAAGCAAGTGGGGCCCTATGTGCATGGTGGGGGTTCCTCAGCCAGAGAAGACTAGGATTTCTAAGGCTAACACACACACACACACTCACACTCACACACCCCTACCCCTTTCTCCTCAGTGTCAGAACTGACCTGGTTCTGTTATTTCTGTTTTCCATGGACATTGATGTCCCCCAGCCACAGTGCTCCTGGTAAAGCTGCCCCCTGCTTGGTTAATTGCACATCTTCTCTATATGATTTCTGAATGCCTACTGGGCATTGACTTTGAGTGTCCTCTGCATGGTATTTTTTTCTAACGAGGCAGGTTCCTTGGAGGGCCCCCCTCCAAGCTCTGTCTGATGTTGCCAGTTCTTGTAAGACCTGAGACTGGGTGGCTTCTCTACCCAGGTCAGCCCCTCCTTGCACTGAGGTGACAGTTGCAAATGACCTTGTCATTTGGGCAAAAGTATGAAGCCCTTCCGGGTCTGACATTGTGTTTGTTCATCTTACAACACCTGTTGGGCTGTGTGTTCTTCAGTCCCAGAACTTAGGAGGCAGAAGCAGCCAGAACTCTGAGTTTGAGGCCAGCCTGGTCTACATAGAAACTTGTAGGCCAGCCAGAGCTACATAGTGAGACCCTGTCTCAAAAACCTAAATATATATTGAGCTGGTGAAATAACTCAGTTTGAAAAGGTGCTTGCTGCCAAGCCTGATGACCTGAGTTCAGTCCCTGGGACTTACATTGTGGAAGGCGAATACTGACTCCTTCAAGTTGTCCTCTGACCCCGACATGTATGCTACTGCACCCATATGAACACAGTGCTCAGGAAGCTGAGCCAAGATCTTCAGAAGTCATCCTGGACCAAATGAGACCCTCTCCTTCAAATAGTGTCCTGAGTTCACTGGTGAGAGCTTGTTAACCAAAGCACCAAGGAGTAGTAGAAGAACCCCGGATAATATGGAAATGATGCTGGGAGTGTTCAGTGGGGGAGGCTGGCCTAGTCTGGGAGGTCAGAGAGGTGTCCAGGAAATCATGTGGGAATTGGGATCTGAAGAATGAGAAGGTATTAATCAAAAAAAGATGGAGAGGAGGGAAGATTCCAGAAGAAAACAGCATTGACAAAGATAAGGTAGAGAGAATGGGCAGGGAGAGCGTCCCCTTGAAGACTGATCTCAGCTGCAGGTCTGAGAGCTAATTGCTTCCTGACCCTAGTGAGAGCTGAACCGCCATCAGCCAGCTGGCGTACTATTTACTTGCGTCTTAAGAGCAGGGAGAGCTGTGAGCGAAGGCAGGGTGGAGATATTCTGATGGGAGGAGAGGTTGACCTGATTAGATTTGTGATTTTTATAAAAGCTTATTCTGGCTGCGAGATGCTGAGGTCAAATCCACTGATTATAGGCTTGAGGAACTGCTTGCTGACGGGACTCACCCTCAGGAGAGGAAGTCAGCCTTGGGTAGCGCCGTGGCTGCTCCGCTGGCTGTTCCTTCCCATTTGACCTCCACAACTCCAAATCACCTTGCCATGTTGCCCAAGCCAGAGCAGTAGGAAGTGTGTGGGTGGGCTGTCTCAGGAGAAGGTGTTTCCTAAGAACAATCTAGCAGTGACAGGAACCCTCCAGGGGACTCTTTTTTCCTGACCGAGAGAACAGTCCCCTGGAACTGATGTGTCTCATTAAGCAGGATCGGCGAAAATCACATCTCTTCTTTTTCCTGTCTCCTCTCCAGGCTTATATTTGGCACCCTCTATCCTGCATATTATTCCTACAAGGCTGTGAAGTCCAAGGACATTAAAGAATATGTAAGTAAAGCCCCTCATTTGGGGCGGCTGATGGGGTGAGTGGCAGAGTGTGAGGCTGGGCCAGAGGAAGATAGATAGTCCTTTGGTATGGGTACGGTGGCAGGAGGGAACCCCTCGTGACCCTTCTGCTCATGTAACTTCTCCAGAGTCCTATCCCTTCCCAAACTGCCCCCTGTCTAGACCCTAAGTGTTGAAGTGAGGAAAGCAGAGAAGTATGAGGGGACATTGCATCTGGAACTGGAGGCCAGGTGCCATGGTGATGTCATCTCTCTCAGCCTGGGTTTCCCCATCTGGGAGACTCTGCAGACCACAGACCACCATCTGGCATGGAGAGGTGCACAGGTCTGAGAAGCCAGCTGACTTGGCTCTTTCCTGGCTTTCCACTTCTGACCTCCTCCTGGGCTGTCTTCCAACACCTACAGTTCAAGCCTTGTTGACGTGTAAGCTCTTTGAGGATGAGGCGTTCGTGATCATCTCTCTGCAGCACCTTGCAGAGAGCTGAGCCCATGGCAGTGGGATCAGGAGGACTCACTGGTTAGAGGGTTGTGACCATTACTGATGGGTGGTTTGGGTGCTGCATGCATCATTCCTGGTCATCCCAGGTACCTCCTGTTTAGCCGCCCCATTGACCAAGACTTGCTGAGTGAAGGATGTGATGAGAATGTCCTTTCCTTTGTAGGGGACTAGCCCAGGTGAAGGATGTGGGTTTGGTCATAAAGAGACCGAGTTACCAAGTCCTGGCTCTGAAATTTATTGGTGTAATTATATGCTGGACAAGTGGCGTAAACCTCCAAGAGCCTCAGGTCATCTTCTGAACAGCGGGGTGGTGACAATCCCCTTTTCCCTTAGAAGATGTTGCTTGACAAGCTCAGGGTCGGGCAGACTCATTCTCTAGAGGACTGCAGTCATTAATGTTAGGTGCTCCTGGCATTACCCCTGGTCATCTTGGGGTGTAGGTTAAAAAAAAAATTCAAGGGCTAGAGAGATGGCTCAATAGTTAATAACCCTGCTGTTCTTACAGAGGACCAGGGTTCAGATCTCAGATCCCATGGGGGGGGGGCCCGCTAACAACCACCTGTCACTCCAGCTTATGGAATCCAGCACCATCTTCTGACCTCCTTAGGCACTTGCACACACAAGTACATTCTAAAACATACAAAGAGGGGTGGGGGGTAAAGAAAGAATTAATTCAGAGCCATCCTGGAAGTCATTATTTTCATGCATTTCCCAGATGAACACCTCCAGATCAGCTACAACCAGAGCTCAGCCCCCTTCCTCCCAGCTTCCCAGAACTGCTTGCTTCGGCTACTCTTACCAGGGAATCCAAAGTGGGTAACTTCTGGAGGCCAGTCCCTGGTATGTGAGGACGGCGCTGCTCGCACACTATAAATAGCCGAGAACTTGCAAGCACCAAGGCTCCTGGTTCTCAGTTAACACAGCCCAGCGGCAGCAGCAGCTTCTTCCAGCCCTGCCCCTCCTGACCCCTTCCCACCTGTGGTGCTCAGCAGCTGTGCCGGGAGGGGGGGGGTGCCTCATGAGATCTCTGCAGTGCAAGAGCTGCTCCTCTGCAAAGCAGGGCCTGAGCACGCGCCCAGCCAGCTGGGCGAGATCAAACCCTGGTAAATTGTTGTGCGCTGACTAAACTCACAGGAGCCTGGTGTATGACCAGAATGGCGATTCATTAATTTAGAGTGAACGCTAACTGACAAGCAGAACAGCTGTTTGTGTTGGCTGGTGTGTGCACACATTTCCCCCTGGGGGAAAGCTTGGGAGTTAAGATTAGAGGTTTCTCGGTAAAATTGGCATTGGGAGATAGGAGCTGAGCAGTACCAGGGAGAACTGCCTCCTTCCTCTGTCCTCACATGCATGCGCGCGCTCTCTCTCTCTCTCTCTCTGTCTCTCTCTCTCTCTCTCTCTCTCTCTCA